GTGGCTTTAGTGACAGAAATTTCTTATCTCCCAGTTCTGGAGGTTAGAAGTCTGCAGCAAGATGTCAGCAACGTTGATTCTCTTGTCATAATTCTGCTCATTTACCTGGACTCAGGGTCCTTCCTGGTACCTGCCGTGGTGGCTAAAATCCCAGCAGCAGAAATGCTGTTAAACTTCTGTCTAATGAGGTTTATTCTGACTGTATTTGCTGTATGTTAAGCTAATTTTGCAAGCAACTAACTATAAGACATTGTGAAAATAATATGAAATATCTGGGGCTCACTCTTTGTATTTGTTAAATGAGAGAGCAGAAATAGATTCTTTCAAAGGCCTCCTCCAGTTCTTTATGTCCATCATCTAAGGAAATGCTTCTTAAAGGAGCATTTAAACAAGCCTAGCTTATTAAAGCAGTAGAAAGTACTTAGCTCTTTTTGACCATTTGGATAAAAAATATAAGCTGTCACTTCTGGGATAGCTTTATTACCTCTACTTCTTTGCAGAGGCTGAAGTTTAATGTCATTAAGGCACCCTTAATGAGCATTCCCTAATTTAGAAGAGTGTTTGCGATGTGATCACTGATTTGAGAAATGGTTCAAGTCTTACTGGGTGCTGGGGATGAAGGCTGAGTGATTACTTCTTTACTGGGCTGGTAGTGTTGATGTTTGCTCTGCTAATTGTACTTAATTTACTGTGAAGTTTTCCCCTCTGCTACTCCTGTTGTTCTGAGTTGACTGTGCTACTGGGCAAAGCACAGAACATGGAGACTGTTAGTTGAAGTCACATGTGATTTCCTAGTGGAGGCATCTTGAAATTATTTGTAGGTAACTTATCGGAGGGAATGTGCTAGAGTTCACCTTGGAGTTTTGCATTTCCCCTCTATGTTGCTGCTTAAAAAGTAAATAATTTTACGCCTCTCTGTGTGGAAACCCAAGAGTTGGTAATGTTCTTAAGAACGAGACCAGATTGCTACTCCTGTGGATGGTTTTAAAGGCTGCTTTTTGAGAGCATTTCATTTCATGTTGCAGATGGTGGAAGACCATGGGACAAAAGTTTGAGGGGTCCCTGCTCTTGGCAGACGATTGTGCACTCTCTGGGTCTCTGCCATGGGCCTGAGGAAGAGAAGCAGCCTTGGGGTCTCTCTCTCTCTCTCATCCTCTGTCTCTCTGTCTCCCTCTCTCTCTGGGATTGAGCCCAAAGCTTTGTGCTTAGGTATTTTGTGAGAGTGTGGGGTTACTATGAGCCGGACTCTGAGTTAAACATCTTTCCTTCTAGACCATAATCACACCTTGACTCGCTCATAACCCTAACAAATCTTAATTTTCTTTAAGATACTGAGATATCTAGAAGGTTCTGCTTACCTCCATGAATCTTATCATGCTTTATGATAAGGTTTTCAGTTCCCTCGGTGCAGAGTGTGGGCAGCCTCTGTTAGTTATCTACCTACCCAGTATAAATTCCCCCTTTCTTTCTTGCTAATGGAACCTCTATCTTGTTTGTGCTGGAAATGTAACCTGTTCTTGGGGATGACTTGTGGATCCAAGCGATTATAATCATCCTGCTTTCTAATCTTCAGTTTCCTTTGCAGCTAGCAGTGGCCAGGTTTCTTAATTCTGGCCAATAAAAAAAAAAAAGCCAATCTTTAGGAGGAACTCCTGATAAAAGAAGATAACATTAAACATTATTTCTGGATGTGCCCATGAGGGTGTTTCTGGATGAGATTACGTCTGAGTTAGTGAAGTCATTAAAGTAGATCTGGTTCCCTAACGTGTGCAGGCACTGTATACTGTAAGCTCTTCAGGGCTTGACTATCCCAAAAGGGGAGGAAGGAGGAAGCTTGCCTCCCTGCTTGAACAGGGACATCTCATCCCATCTTTTGTCCTTGGACTAAGATTTATGCCATTACCCTCCCTGGTTCTCAGGTTTTTGTACTCACTTTCCTAGAACTCCGTGTTGCAGATGGCGGAAGACCATGGGACATGGTAGCATCTATATGTGAGCTATTTCCTCATAATATTTTTCAATATATGTACATTTATGTGTGTTTTTACACATATATATCTCTATACACATATCTCTATCCTATCTGTCATCTATCTATCTATCTATCTATCTATCATCTATCCAATCTACTCTATCTATCCACCCATCCATGCACCCATCCATCCTACTGGTTATGTCTCTCTGGAGATTTTTGATTGAAACACCACCCCTTCCTGTTTTTCCCTTGCCTGCATCTCCCTGCCTCTGGTGGGGTATGATGTCAGAAGCTGCAGGAGGTTCGGGTCAGCAGAACCTCCAGCCTCTGAACATTTTGTCATACCAGGTCCTACTCAGATCTTTCCTTGGGGCTAAATCATAAAAGGGACAATGTATCCTCCCCCTGCTTAATTCCATTATTGAAGTAGAAAGGGGATGACTTACGTATGGAGAGAAAGTGACCTCACTTTGGAAAAATATCACCCTGAAAATAAACTAACAGTTTCTGGCATTCTATTTACATTGGTTTGCAGTGATTCTGAGTCAGAGTTAAGCAGATGCCTGCCCTGAAGTTCTGTTTTCTGTTTATTTTTCACCTGTCACTTAGGAAGATATCAAGAATCAAAACAATAAGCTCTATCAAACATAATGAAAATAAGGAGTAATATGAATAATTGCATTCACATTAACAATCATGTCTTCAGTATAGAAGGGGAAGCCACAGAGTTTTCTCGATTTAAATTGTACTTTTTCTCCAAAGACGGTTTGGGGATTGAGAAACAAGACAATTAACTGGACCTAGGAAAGTCAGGAAGCTCTGAAAACCAGGTGTCTCTGGCTCTTCTAAGATTGATTGCCCTGGGTGTCAGCCAGCCCAGGCTGAGCATTCCTGAGTAATTAGGATTCACTTCATTGGCAGGTGAGCCTGACCTCACCTCGCAAAGCTGTCTCCAGCATCTGAGCAAAGAATCCCTCTCCCCAGCATACCTCTGCAGCAATATCCTGGCAGATACTTTATGACACGTTGCCATGACATAAAGCTTGCATGAGCTGCGTTACACTGCCCCGGGGCCTCAGGCTACTTGGGAAAAATGGTAAGCGTTCGAAGTTTAAACTAAATAATATGCTTTTAATGAGATCATGTGCGTTGCAGATCAAAAGCATCACCAAAAGGTAAAAAGTTCAAAAAGCCTCTTACATGCACAGTGATTTTGACCAAAGCAGCTTTCATGATTTTTCCAATAGAATTTTAAAAAGCATTTTCAGGTTTCTGATCCTAAATGTTACACTTCAGCAGGTTCTCCCTTGCCTTTCATCAAGCGCAGACAGGACCCTTTTGGCTGCAGGGGAGGTAACAATGCCTTCAAATCCGTGATGCTGAACACTGTCGCGGTCTCTAAGTACTCGGGAATGCTGTCCAGGTAGGGGCAACCTGACCAAAGATTACTTCTTCCAAACATTTGGGAAGCTCACAAAAGCAATACCTAGTTTAGCTTAGCAGAATGCGGGGCATTTATGTTGAGCTACATCCCCAGCCCTTTTTTAGAAAATTTTAATTTGGAGACAGGGTCTCACTAAATTGATAAGTTGCTCAGGCTGGGGTTGAAGTTATGATCCTCCTGTCTCAAGCCTCTCCGAGTACTGGGATTAGGAGTGGTGTGTCCCATCATGCTGGGTCAGAATTTGAATTTGGTTTTGCTTTGCATAGCTGCTTCGTGATGCTTTCCCAGAAATCTCAGTTTGAGTTAAGAGGAGGGAGGGAGAAAGACATCAACACTGTTGAGTGTCTATTAATAAACACGTCGAGGACTTGAGTTGTATTATTTCATTTAACCTTCAAAATATCCCTGCGAGGCGGCTGGTGTGAACAGTCTTCTTCCATTGTGCTTGATTTTTGTCATGAATATAGCATTTATCATAATCGTCCTACTGTGAAATTTACTTTTCTAAATGCCAGTCTTCACGTCTCCTCTCTGGAAGGCGAGGGGACCTACTACATGCTGGCACCAATACCAAACCCTCTTACCTACATTATCACCTTACTCTTGTAAAAATTCTGGCACTTAGGCACTGTTCCCCAAGTGGCAGGGAAAAGTTGTCTGAGAGGTTGGGTGACTTGCTTGAGATCACCTGATTAAGCCGCACAGCTGAAATTTGAACTCAGGTCCGAGTCTGAAGCCTCCATCTCTTTCTCTGTTCTGTTGCCCCCCAGTCATCATGTCGCCTCTTCAGGGTCTTCTGCCTTTGTTCAACTGAATGTCTGCCTGCCTCGTGACTTTGCCAGTCGCTGCAGAATGCATTTCGCCACCCCTGGCTTAGCCCACTCCTAACTCCTGGTCATCCAAAGTGAGGTTCAAGGTCATTGTCACTGCATGGGAATGTGGTGGAAATGTATATTCTGGGATTCTTTTCCTGATTTTCTGGGCTGGGGGAGACCAAAAGGAAGATGATGATGATGATGGTGGTGGTGGTGGTGTGTGTTTGTGTGTTTAATCAAGCTTTCTGAGAATTTTTATGCATGCTCGAAATTCAGAAAGCAGTGTTTCGACTAATCTCTCATCTGGGGCGAGTGTAGTACACACCCATAATCCCAACACTGAACCATGGATCAATCAAAAACTCTAGAAGCCCACCTCATGATTGCATGAGGCTTTTGGGTGGGGATGGGGGATGAGTGGTGGACATGGACATCCAGACACAAACCATAATACCAACCCTCTGGGAGGCTGAAACAGGGGGACTGCAAGTTCAAGCCCAGTCTGGGCAGTTAGCAGCCTAAAAACACCCTGTCTCAAAATAACATAAAAACAAAGGCCTGGGGATGTAACTCAATGCGAAGGCCCTGGGTTCAATTGTCCATCCCTAGTCCTGAAACACACACACACACACACACACACACACACACGTGCTCGGATATAGTGTATATACTTCTCTGTGAGACACTGAACTCTACGTGCTTCTGTTTAGGCACCTGCAACATTTTATTCAAGAAATTTGCTTAAACAGCCATTACTGTCACTGACCTGAACACTCTGAGGACGTGGTGGTATTCATCTTCATCGCCCGAGCGTCTAGCATTCTGAAATTGTTTATTGAACAAATTAAGTGAACTGCTAAGTCACACATCATTTTCTTGTGGCAAGAGGGGACTATAAAATCTATTAATCAATCTGACAGGTTTAGAAGGATGAATCTAATTTCTTTTTCTCATGTTTTTTTTTTTTTTGTTAGTAGGCTTTTCTCCAATTAAAAAAACAGAGATTGGGGTGAGGGATGCCACAGTAAAGCCCAGGGCTCAAAATAATCAGCCAACACAGCCTTTCCTGTAGTTAAAGAGTCTGCAAAATGGGTTATGTTGCTCACTCAAGCAGCTTTTGCTTTGCAAGGACGCAAGTAGTAAGCAGAGTGTTTGTTTTGCAAAGAAAAAAGATTAAGGTTTGTTCCCTCAGCCTTGAAATTTTATGGAGGGTCTCATAATTAAGACTGTCACGGAAGGTGCAGTGTGTTCGCTCCTTCTCTCTTGCAGAGATCAGAGTTGGGGTGGCCTTCTAGGTAGGCAGAATACTGCCAACAAGAGGCGATTTTAGGAGAGGATGTTGAAGATTAACGCATGGAGGCTTACAGGCTGCCAGTCCCTGCTCTAGTGGTCCACAGGCAGTGACATAGGGGCCTGGGATGGAGCTGAGCTTGGCCGGATGTAGGGGGACATATTTTCTCTGCATGTTGCTTCCTGCCAGAGGCCTCCCGAAGGCCTGAGTCTCAGGACCCCAGGAGGAGCTTTTAAAAAATTCCACAGCACTGATAAGTGAGACTTCTGGGGGAGAAATGCACAGGATTTCACATCTTTCAAGTAATGTTTGGTAGTCTATCGGATTATTTTTAAAATTCTGATGCTCTCACCCGTGTGGGGAAAGCAGAAACAGGCAAGCCTCACAGGGAGAAGGGCGAAAGCTGCCTCAGGCAGCTTGATGGGGTCCACTCATCCAGGGGTCCTGGAAGGGCGGCTTCCGCACAGCAGTAGCAGGGGCACTTGGGAATTTGGTTAAAAATGCAAACAGGAGGATGCCACCCAGAGCTACCAGAGAGAATCCTGCACGGGGCACCACTGTCTGGATTTCGGCAGTCTCCCAGGTGATTCTGATGCTAACATTCGAGAAACACCTCACCCAGCTGATTACTATAAAAATGTACACATTCCAGGATGGGATAAATTTCTAAGCTGTTATCAGTCACTTGTAGCTCAGTGAAAATGAAGCACAGGTCCTGCACGGGAGGTGGGGAGGTGGGAGCCAGTGGCAGAGCTCCAGAGGGGGGAACGCAAGGTCTCCCACTACGGCCCAGTTTTGCCTCAGGCCACCCCTGCCTCCTTTAGCACCTGCCTTTCTTCTAAGAAGTAAATGTCAAAAGTAGTTTTCTTTAAAGGTGACACAGGTATTTAACACCTCAAACAGCTAGAATCCTACTAGACAGTTTTATGATGTGATAATTTACCTCTTACAAGTAAGTACACTTTGCCCAGATAAGACATTGACTAGCTAAATTTAGGTTTCAGCAAGGAATTCGACTGAAATTATTTCTTCCTTTTTGAAGGCAAATCTGATCAACTTTTGGGGGTCTGATTTCAAAATTATGTTCCTCTGGGTTCGTGCCACACTGAAATGGCAGGCCAGTGATTGAACAACCCAAAAAAAAAAAAAAAAAAAAATCATCAAAACGACCAGGGATTCCTGTGGTTTAAAAACACTAAGTGAAACTTTTAGGCTTCACTTTTCACAGTAGAGAATGAACATATTAATGTTGTCTTCAAAAAATATTCATGTAAAATATTCCTTTTCTGTTTTGAAAGGGACAATATATAAGCAATCTTCAAGAATGCACTAGTGCTATGTTAGGCCCTAGGGACTCAGTGGAGGACAAGACAGGGTCCTGATGCCTACAGAGCTTCCAGCCCAGGCGGGAGTTTGTCATCAACGTGTGCATATTCCTTGCCAGAAATCATTTTACCCAGCATAGACCTGGTATTGGTTATACAGCCGTCCATACGACTGGGTCTCTTACCTAGAAGAAAATCAAGCACATGTATCAAGTCAAGAGAATAATGATCACACTGGCTCCTCAAACGGAGAGAATTCAAAACAGAGAATTTAACATAGGGAATGGGGGATGGAGGTGGACTGAGGAGACGGACAGGACAATGAGATGCTCCACGACTCGGGACTCAGGACAGAGTGGAGCTCCACGGGCAAACGATGTTATCAGACCCAGCAGCTGGCTCCATGGGTTGCTCTAGATTCTTAAACCACAGCGGAGGCTGTTTGGTAGAAGCCGGAATCCTGGACACATGCCCTTCTCCCTAGCAATGCTCAACTGAGTAGAGGAGGACTGAATCCATGGATTCCGCTTCCTCTTGCGCTCCAATCCAGAGCTCTGCCAGCCCCTCCACAGAGTATAACTAAGTGGAAGCCAAGAGCTCAAGGTGGTCAGAAGCCACCATTCCTGCGGCTCAGGGCAGGGCGGGGAGAGGTGGAGAATGGATCCGAGAACAAAGTCCAGCGTGGAACAAACCCCAGCTGTGCTCTGGAGGAATTTCTGCCCAGCTGGAGGAGAGCAGGAGCAGCCAGTGAGAAGGTCAGGACCTGTCCCCGGGGCGGCGGTGGGGAGAGGACAGTTAATGGAGAGCAGGTGAGGTGTACAGACCGAAACCATGTGGCAGCCACAGACTCCTTCCGGGACCAAGAGTCGTGGAGTCTCCCTCAAGCCCTACATTCAGTTCAGTTCAGTTCTTTTTTTTCCTTCATTTTTTCCCCTCTTGCGGTGCTAAACATCTCCCTTTTGCACACAGAGAAAATCAGTGAGTCCACACGGGTATCACTGTGTCTGCCTTGATTGGTCTCTCAGAAACTCAGAGAAAGAACAACTAATTCAAAAAAAAAAAAATGCTAATACGTGGCATTTAAAGGAAACACATTTGAGGCATAAAGGGTCTTAATGGGCCCCTCAGTGGGCTCCTGCTTGCCTACTGCAAGAGCCTTGTACCAGAGGCTTGATTTATAACGCTTTTATGAGGACTGTGGCAAGTTGGGAATAATGACCTCAGCTTTGGGTAGTTCTTCTCAAGAGGCAGTTAGAAAAAAAAAAAAAAAAAAAAAAAAAAAAACCATTCTGTTGTGGAGCCATGCTTTTGTAAAACAATCTATTAATAGAAAGAACTACTAGAAAATAAATTGAATGGAGAAGGATATATGGAGCACAGATTCAAATATTTTTATTGTGTTTAACAGGCACAGAGTGACTCCATTCAACTGCAGTGAAGTTTCTAAATCCTTATTCTCTGTTTGCGTTTATTTCCTTGGAGACGAGCCAGCCAGTTTCTGCTTACTGTGCACAGTTCGGAGCATCCTCCCCCTGAGATTGGCTCCAGGCTTGCAGGAGCTGCTCTGGAAGAAGCTGCCCCCCCACTCCCAATTTCTGCCCTCTGTGACCTATGAGTGTCAGGAGGTTGTGCCCAGGATATAACACAAAGCAGGATGTGGGAATCACCATAAGCCGGGCGCGCACAGCTTAGAGGAGGATGCCTGCAGGAGTGAGGTCATTCTGGATCATTCTGGAACATTCTCTTTCTCAGACCTGAGTGTGCCGTCTGAACTTTAGTGCTATTTCTGTCTGTATCTTCATCCAGCTGCCTCGATTTTATGTTCTTTCCAGACTGACAACTTGGAAAAGGCAGCAGACATATCTAAAAATGACAGTTATCTTCAGGGAAAGGAAAACGGCAAATATTAGACAAAAAAAGTATGAAGTAAATTTTTCACCCTGAAGGGCCAAAGAAATCATTAGAGTTATCTGACAGCCACAGTCTCCGGGCGCGGGACTTGCCCCCTGGCTATCTCATTGCTATTTATATGAGCTGGGATGTCTATCTAGTAGTTGGGCTGAAATCATGTGGGACCTATAAGAACTTAGACATGGCCCACAGTGAAAAACCCCACAAAACCCTTCGATCTTTCTCTTTAAAGTCTGGCTGCCAAATTATTCCTCTGCAGTATATAATTACTCCTCTAAAACATGCACACGTGCACACACACCCTTTTTCCTTCTTTCCTCCAAAACCTCCCATCAAGAAAATCAAAACTTTAAGAGTTCATAACTACGTGTTTTCCCAAACAGTATGATAGTTACAGAGTGAGTACTGAAATAAAGCGAAATAAAATACATACAGCAAAGATATTCGAATAAATTGTGAAATGGGAAGCTCAAAAGTCCTCCTTTGCTTATTTTTGGACACTTCTAACTTGGTAAATCTACCAAATTCTTTCTTAAAAGCAAAATTGCCACGATCGATGTGTAATGGGAAGTGATATGCATGTCTCACTGAAGTTAAAGGCGTATCTATGGAATATATTGTCAGATGCAATTAGATAGGGAAGCACGGTTCTTTTCTGGTTGAGAAATAGGTTCTCTCTAATGCCCTTTATTAAAGTTTAAAGGTGGACTTGGTGGTGGAGGAAGGGGTAGGGAATGAGCTCTCTTGCCGGTGACCTTTAGGGGCTAGTGCGCCGCCTGCAGCACTGTCATTAAACACGGCAGAATGCAGGAATGTTTGTGAAAGAATTTTTTTAAAAAAGCCCAAATCCCTCACCTGCAAATAAGCCCCTGAATTCATCTTCTGAGATCATTCTGTGTTTTTGACATGTCTGTGTGCCAATGTGTTCCAAATGAGAGTTTGATCATCATTCTACCGGCAGCGACAATCCTAAGCCGTATGTCAAGGCGTTTATCAAAGAGAAGCTTGACTGTATTTCCTTCATATTGTTTCAGCAATAGATTCTAATCACCAGAACTTAAAAATCTGTTCCCATAATCTTTCAACAAATGTCAAAGTTTCTCCATTTCAGCCTTTAGTGTGATGAAAAAAAAAAAAAATCAAACCCCTCCGTGCCTATTGCAATTCTTGCTGCTTCGAGTATCTGCTTTCTCTCTGAAGATCACATCTTCTTTTTGACTAGGTTGTGCATTTAAGACCTGAAAACTGTGACCCCAGTTGCCTAGCAACCGAGAAACTCAGGCCTCAGCCCTGGTGGATGAGATAGGAAAAGGTCAATTAACATAGCAGCCCTGTCCTTCTCAATATGCTACTGTGGCAGCTATTTTTATTTCTTTATAGCAATATATCATAATAAGTTTTGTAGGTCTTTATACCGTGGTTCTCCCTTTTGAATAAAAGCATAACTAAGACTTGAGGGGATGTCTGATATAACAGAAAATGTAGCCATAAAAAAAAACCCCTAGAATAGAAATCATCTGACTGCTGAGTACCCTGCCAGGCCGCCTGAGGCAGTTACACATTTCCATTGAGTTATTTTATGATCAGGCCAGTATGTTATTGAAATATTATCTCTTTAGCCTTTCTCATTCTGATAAGAAATGACAGGATCTCGGAGCAGTAATACATACAGAGTACAAAATATGGAGCTGTGGACAAAATTTAGCCCAGGCAAAAACCTTGGCTTTGGAGAATTTTGATTAAAACTGATTATCCCTGGGTTGTATTTTCAAATAAGGCACAGTACACATCCTAATGTCCAGTTTAATTGTGAGAATTTGGAGCCTCTGTTGATGAGTGCTTCGAAACTGATTATTGAGCAACATTCAAGACAAAGTCTGTATTGACTTTCTAACCTCATTTAAGATGCGATTTCTTTAGGAAATGAGGAAATTGTTGTCACCTTTCAGATGTATGGGTAAGAGCTACAGTTGGGATCTGAAGGGTCATTCTGAATAGAAAAGGAGACAGAACTAAGAATATAAAATTGTAAGGTAAATATTTGGAAGGTGGTCGATTGAGAGCTACTTTGGAAACAATGTGCAATATAGGTAGCTTTGTTATTTTATTTCTAATCTTTTCTAAGGAAAATCCTGACTATATCACTGTGTACATATTGATTCTTTATTGTTGTTTAATATGAAAGCCATTTCATATGAGCAAAGTCAATGCATTTGTATTTATAGATAGGTAAGGCAGGCACCTGCTTCCTTCGTGTGGGTGTCGGGAGACCTGGGTTTTGTCCTTTGATCTGTTTCTGGTTAGCTGCATGACCTTGGGTAAGCTGGACACTCTCAAGCTCTTGGCGTTGCCACCTGCAGAACAGAGAAATTGTATTGCATCATTTTGAGCATTTTTTCCTGTGAATTTTCCACCCTCTGCTTCCTTTCCTGTCTCCTATATACACCTATCACATTTTGTTATGCAAAGTCTCATATCTGCGGGATTTTGTGTAATCTCCACTTTGTACATTTTCAGACCTTTTGCCCTTCTGACAAATGACATTCAAGGGGACACAAACTCAGGTGTTTCCAATCAGCAGCATTTTGGGTGTTGGAGAAACTGACCTTCCACAGATCTGAAGTTAGCATTTTCTTCTTTGACCTTACGGGATTTGCGATTGTTTTGCTTTTCTCTCCTTTTCTTTCTTTTTTTTTCATAGCAGTAATGTAGAAGCAGATGTTGTCTCCCTCCACACAAATGCTGCACAGTGAATCATCTTAGCCTCTCTGTAAAATTTTAACTTAATGGAGTCCTGGCATTTCTGATGAGACGAGGAACTTAATTTTATAGAACAACCTATTGAACAAGCTGTTCTTGGACATTCCCATCTCAACTAAATGTTAAAAGTATTAAAATTCACATTAGCACCAGAGGAAATTTTGCATGGGTAATCCTTTAATACAGTGTTTTATGGCTCTATTAGCAGCACAGCAGCTGGTGACATGATGAATTTAATCCATTAAAAAATTCAGTAAGAGGTTTAAAAGTCAGCTTTTTAAAACATTATCTTGCTGGAAGGAAAGAGAACTTTTCCTCAGGGCCAGAAGCAGGGTGGTGTCACACTGCAGCAGTTGTAGGAAATAAACCTGCGTGACCAACTTTCTTACACTCGGAGCCGCACACCTAGGGATGGGCAGAAGGATGTGTGGGGACTCAGGTTGCTGGATGGGAAGGCGCCAAAGGGCTGGACATCTCTGCCTTGTGTCTCATTCTTCCTTGCTTTTCTGAGGAGGTTTCCTGTTGATACTAAACGATGGTGATATTTTTTAACATGTGAACATTTTCATTTGTGCTGACCGATGTATTTGTGTAAAATCAGAATTGTGCTGAGCTTTTATGAACTATCCTTCCTTATGAGGATTTGAGAAATAAAATTTTCTCACCTTTGATGCAAATAAACTTCTGCAGAGTAACTGCATAAAAGCTTTGTGACGCATTGGGATGGATTAGGGCAGGGGGCCTAAGTTACATTTTGGATGGCTTACTCAAGTGAGGGTCTGCCTTGGAATAGGCTGGTGGTTTTAACTACTAAGCTTTAAATTTTTCATTAATCTTTCCAAATTGTAACTCTTTTCTCAAAAACAGATAAACAAAAAGAATGACAAAACACCAAAAATAAAACAAAATAAAGGTTCATTATCCACCATGGAAAGATTTTACAAGCTACTAGGTACCATTACTGCCTTCCAAGTCAGGAGTTTGTGAAAAGAATTCACTTGTAATATGCATGTATTTCTGAACAGTAGCGGTAACAAGTCACCTTTTATCAGATTGCCCAACATCTACAAATGAGTTTGTTACTATGGGCAAACCTTGTGAGTTAGGAAATAGGTAGTCTGACTTAACAATTGTTTTTGCCTAGACAACTCATTTATATAATTTCCATACTCATATAATGTCACTCAGGTTCTATCCTCACTTAGCATAGCTTGAAACAGAAGAATTGCCATGTCTCATGGTATAGGTATTACGGCTCACAAGAACACAAAACTTGCTTCCTCTGCCTCGCAGGAGATCTCTAATAGTTCCAAAAGTGTGAACAAGCCACCAGGTTGGACATAGCAACAGCCATTGTATTCATGAGTACTAAAACTTGTTTTATTTTCCTTTCAACATGAATGGCTTTATCTTTTTCAAAGTGCACATGCTACCCGGATAGAGAGCCCTTTTCTTTTGTTGCATGGAAGAAGATGTGAACATTCTAAAATTATTATTTCCCTTAAGTCTCTGCAAAATAACTCTACCAAGATTGTGTCTTTTAATGGAAAGGTTGATGCATCTAGGAAGCAGCTGAGCTTGAGAGCTGATAGCTCATAGCTCCAGTGAGACCTGTTTTGATAGTATCTAATCCTGTGTTTGAGACTGATTGATCCGGACGCACCCTTCCCACTCCCTGTGCTTTTACAAAGGCGCCTTTCCGGGTGTGCAGTAATGTGTTTCTTTTTCCAATCTACGTGGTTCCTCATGACTGAGCCTGCTCTGAGAAGGGTTATGCAATCTGTGCACTCGACTAATGACACTTAAAAAAAAAAAGCAACCCAACACAAACCCCGCTAAAATTATTTCCTAGTTGAAAACAATGCATAACCGAAACCCAGTCAATAGTGTCATCCTGACCACGCACTGTACACCATCTTAACATAGACATCATTTTCATGAACAAGAGGGCTTTTGGCTGACTTTAAAGATTTTATAGTGAAGGAGAAAGCAAATGCAAAATAATCGGATCTTTGCCCTACGCATTGGAGATTTTTATAGAGCAGGGTATGTTACTTCTGTTCCTAGAGACTTTTTAAATAAGAGTGATATCGATTTCTTGATCTTTTGATCAATTCCGGTCTTTTCCTAAATTCAGCCGCTGCAGGGCAGCACAGGTTGGACTAATCGGGTCACATGGTATGTAATTAGCCAATCCTGGCCTCTGAGAAAACCTGTCATCCTCTTGAAGCTCTTCGTTCCTGCGCCTCCCAGTGGATGTTCCCTATACTCCTCACCTCCTGTATAAACGAGCCATGGGGACTTCTGGCTGACAGACCCTACTTTGTTGAATTTTTGACTGCAGATTGAGACCCTTCAGCTCTAAAGGCCGCTAGTATCAAATCAAATTTTTATTCATCAATTATTTTGAAAATAACCCCAACAAACAAAGCTTAAAACCATTAAGAGACTACTTGGTTTGTACTCCCTGTGGAACGTTATCCTGAAGCCGACACCCACCGAGAGACGGCACCTTGCAGTTACAAGGTCCAAAACTTATTTTTCCCACGAGGGGTCCTTTGGAGCTCTCTGGCCGAGCTGTTGAGCGACAGCACTGAGATACCCAGGCCTTTCCTTCTCTTGGGAGCTCTTCGACCTCCACCCCTTCTGGCCAGTGACCCCTGCTCTGCAGCTTCTGAACTGACTTCTGTGGGCCGGCAGGGGGAGGGGGCTTCTCTTCCACCCAGCCCTGTCCAGGTAGAACCTATAGACACTGGTGTGTCACTGCCTCAGGTTCTTCAGATCTCTGACGTCGTCCTCTGCCCAAGTCCTGTTTCTTTTCTTCTTCCTGCTCCTCCTCCTCCTTCTCTTTCCTTCCTTTCTCCTTCTCTTTTCTTTCCCCCTCCCCTTCCTTTCCTCCTCCTCCTTCTCTGTTATGGCTTAAATGTGATGTGTTACCCAAAGACCCGTGTGATGAAGACCTGGGCCTCACTGTGGCGGTGTTCAGAGTGGGGCCAAGAGATGGATTGGATCCTGAAGTCACGGACCTCATCAGGATTAATCCATTGATGAGGTCCGTGACTTCAGGATCCAATCCATCTCTTGGCCCCATAGCCGGAGTGGACTGTAGCAGCTCAGTTGGAGGAAATCGGTCTTAGGAGCATAACCTGAAGGGTACATCTTGTCCCTGGCCTCTTCCTTTGCTCCTTTTCCTTCTTTGTCTGCTCCCTGGATGCCACAAGGTGAGCATCTTTCCTCTGCCAACCCCTTCTGCTACTCCACAATGCACTACCTCGCCATAGGTCCCAAAGCAACCAGGCCAACACCAAAAGCCAAAGCCAAACCTTTCCTCCCCTCTGAAACCAAAAGCCAAAGCAAACCTTTCCTGCTTTGAAGGTGTTCACCTCAGGTATTTTGTCACAGTGATGCCGAGCTGACTAACACATCTTCCTTCCCCTCCTCCTCTTTTTTCCCATTTACTTCTGTGGTCTGAGAGAAGGTGGAGGACAGATTTAGAGATGTGTGAAAGCATACACAGCCTGAGGATGTGGCAGGCCACTATCTCCCTGCTGAGCAGCTAGGACAAGGAGGCAATTGCAGCTCCCTGGGTGGGCAGTGCAAGGCCACCTGACCAGAGAGCAGATGTGGTGGCCGTTAACACTGACCTATGTTCTCATAGCCCATGTGTGTGGTTTCGTCCTCTGCTCCTTTGCTGGGCATATGCACACATGCATTCCTTTGTTCTGCAGCTATCAATCAACTCCCTTCTGTGCACCTGGCCCCTTTGCAGGTGCTAGGATGCAGTGGGGAATGAGGCAAAGTATGAAGTGGGTTATGAAATGGGGGGAATTCCAGCCAGAGATGACCATGAGCTAAGACAAACGCCTGCTTCCCCAAGACCTGGGAGATTGTGGAGGAGGAGAGAAGAGGAAGTCAGAAGGATGCCATGAGGGCTGGGGCCAGAAGCCTTCATTTTGCCAGTGTCAGGCCTGAGACCTTGGGCAGGGGATGTGGCAGAACCATCAGGGTCTCCTGAGAGACATCTGGGAGGGTTGAGTGGCGGTTCTGCAGTTCAGCTCCCAAAGAACACTGGTGTCACAGAGATCCCACAGAGAACCCCCAGTAATCCCAGGAATGCATTGGGTAAAAATGGGACTCAGTCAATGGTCATTGCTGTATCCTGCACAGTCCTCTAAGACAGGGTACCTCACAAAGTTTACATGCACATGGTCATTTGGGGATGATAGCAACTCAGTGGGTCAATCTGCAGCCTGAGAGTCTGAATTTATGGCCAGCAAACAGGGGAGGCAGTATGGCTGGGCTGTGAATCATATTTTGAATAACAATTCTTCATAGGTTCTTTCTGTCTCTTAGTCTATTCAAGACATTCTTTCCCTGACCTCATTTTGTCTGAGAGTCATCCATTGACTCACTACACCATGACGAGAGCTTCTGGAAATGTGAGTCTTGACCTCATGGTGTTTCACTTCATTTCCAATAAGGAAGTTCACTTACTGGGGGTGAGGCTAGGGGCCTCACCGTGGAGCGTGTAAGTGTGCCCTGGAAATCTAGGGTGCAGGTTGTATTTTGTAGCAGCATCTTTCATACAGTGGTC